TCCAGCCAATCTTCTCTGAAGTTCCAAATCGTTATGTCCAATTGGCTACAGGAAACCTCTATGTGGATGTGTCAAAGGCCATTTGAACTAAGGAAATCCACACTGGAACTCATTATTTCCTTCTCCCCATCTCAAATCAGCAATTCTTCTAAGATATGACTTACAAAGCTTCCCAGGGGGCAATTTCCTTTTCCTTACTCCCCGTAAGTCACCAAATCCTATTGATTCTATCAAATCTGCCCATGTTTTCCCCTCATTCTGTCACTGTATATAGGAGGCTGGGGGAAGGTTCCATTTAGGCTAGGGCCATAATTGATATTTACATTCAGTGGCTGAGAAAAGCTGGGTGCAGTGGAATGTGCCTAGAGTCCCAGCCTGGGCAACATAGTGAGATCCCATCTCAAAAAAATAGTAAAAGAAGAAGAAAAAAGAAAAGTGCTTACCGAGAAAATGAGGAATTATGAAGCCAAGAGAAATAAAGTACAGTCATGGTCTTTACTAAAGGCAGTGCCTACGTATGGTGGGGAGATATATACATTACACATCAGACAAGGCATTAAGGACTCTGTCCTCGGGTAAAGAAGAAATGTCTAAGTGCTACAACAATGTTATAAACTAAGTTTTACTGGCAAAGAGGGTTTGGGACATACAGAAAGAAGCAGGTCTTGAAGCTGAGTCTTGAAGAACAAGTAGGAATTATCCATATAGAAAGGGGAAAAAGGTCATTCAGGAAATAAGATAAGCATGTGTAAAGACTCAGAGACAGAGAATTTGGGGATTCCAGGGTGTATATGAAAAACTGAACATGAATAAGATGGAACATGAGAGACTCATTAAGCTAAAGTATGAAAGCCTCTGTATGAGGATGCTGGATCCTCAAGGTTTTTGGTCACTGCTACGTATCCAGAACCTAGGACAGTGTCTGCTACTTAGTAAGTTCCAACTCTAAAATTAAATAAAAAAATGGGGAGTGTAGATTTCTGCAATTACTCCTATTTCTTCCCACACAGAACTCCCTACAATGCCATTTTGTCAACTTGCTCATCAAGGAATACAACAGCAGCCTTGTCTCACCTATTAACTCCTACTTCTTGGAAATACTAAGATTTCCAAGTCTTAGTGCATCAAGACAGCACTATCAGATGCCACTCCCTATTAGTCTTCACGCCATGTTAACCGGTGGAGTAAGCAGCTTGAAAACACTTCCTCGCTGGGTGAGATGAAAAAAAATACTAGTTCCTTTGCAGGAACTGCAAAAGGAAATCTATCCCTGAAGGTGCAGTTCTCTCAACTTACAAAATCAACCCTAATTACTGAATATGCCATATGCCTTCATCATACATTCAAACCACTCTCTCCTGCCCCAAATCTGTTCCTCAGCTTGCCTAATTAAGTACATGGGTGAATACATTCTGCCAATTTTCATGGCACAGCTTTGAAAGTCACCTGATTATTTAATTAGAGAGCCACTTAGTAAACCACATTCTGGTTGAAAGAAAACTTGGAGGTGTTGGCCTCCATAGAGAAACTGAGCCCCTAGACATGTAAGCACTGCATTCTACTACAAAGGCTCCTGTAGCCAGGTCTAAAATAAAGCTACACTGACAAACTATTTCAGGGATTCACAGGGTAACTTTTCAGGTGGAAGTGCTGAACTCTGTCTAGCTCCAACCATTTATAAGTTAGGCTGAAAGACAGGTTAAACATGAGTCGCCACTGAGTTCATCCTTCCCACTAGCTAATCCATTCTACAGGAGTTTATATGTCCCAAGGCCAAGGCAGCATACCCGGTTTTTGGTATCTGTTCACTAGGAAAGACTTATTAACCAGACAATATATAGTAAAGGCTTGCTTTAATCCATGCTTAAAGTTTGCACTTTGTTATAGGCATTCAAACGTCTCTTCCAATGTCCACTTGGGAAATGTATATACTGAGAAAAAGCATAAGTCTGGGAGTTCGCCAAAACTAGTATGCTCTCTGGCTTTACAGTTCCACCACCCTCCCATGCTCAGATAAACAGAAAAGTGGGGAAATTCAACAAGGGAGCCTTCAAAGTTATAAGTCGGATCAGATGTATTACTAATAGCCACTTCTTTCTTGGACTAGCTCCAGGCACCATGAACAAACCATGACCAAGTTAGGGATATGATAGGTAGTACAAAATTCCATCTAAATACAGGTGGACAATAAACTGAAATTATTATTCAAGTTAAGGCATGGGCATTTGAAATACAAAATGTGTCACCGTGCTGTCTTCTGGGTGGTCTCAGGTACAAGCCACTGTAGGTCATTCAACAATGTTCAATCATGGGGAAGGAGAGTTAACTTCTTTTCTTTTTCTTCTTCTTTTTCTTGAGACAGAGGCTCACTTTATCACCCAAGCTGGAGTGCAGTGGAGTGATCTCGGCTCACCGCAACCTCCGCCTCCAGGTTCAAGTGATTCTCCTGCCTCAGCCACCCGAGTAGCTGGGGCTACAAATGCACAGCACCACACCCTGCTACATATTTTTGTATTTTTAGTAGAGACAGGGTTTCACCATGTTGGCCAGGCTGGTCTCGAACTGCTGATCTCAAGTGATCCGCCTGCCGTGGCCTCCCAAAATGCTGGGAATGCAGGCATGAGCCATCGTGCCCCAACAGAAGAATTAACTTCTAAAAATTCAACAGCTGGGAAAGCTAATAGAGCTAAGAAAGCTCGCTTAGAAAAACCAGGTAGTCTAGGAAGTGTCAGAACTCCAAAAAGTGATTGGAGGTAATCTATCCAAAGCAGGGAAGGATGTGGTGGCATAATAATAAATACTGGCTGGCCATGGATCAAGTACTTTGGAGCAAGGAGGGAAACAAACCTGATTCTGAGGACAGGGGGAGGATGAACCATAGCATGCCCCTAAAAGATGGGCTAGAGCAGAAGTTTTCAAACTAACTGGCATGAGAATCACTCGAATGCTTCGGCGCAAAAAACAAAAAAAAAAAAAAAAAAAAAAAAAAAAACTGTTGGGCCTGCATTTCTACGTTTCTGATTCAACAGAACTGGGTGAAGCCCAGTAATTTACATTGCTAATAAGCTTCAAAGAGATGTTGCTGATTCAGGAGACCACATTTTTGGAACCACTAGACCAGGGTATTAGATCAAAGTTCTTGGCCTTTAACTTATAACCAAGACGGTCTCAGAGCCCCAGTCAATTGAGTTGGGTAAGACTCCATAAAAGTGGCATGGACACTTAAAACTAGAAGGGCACTGGCCGAGCGCAGCGGCTCACCCTGTAATCCCAGCACTTTGGGAGGCTGAGGTGGGTGGATCACGAGGTCAGGAGATAGACACCATCCTGGCTAACATGGTGAAACCCCGTCTCTACTAAAAATAAAAAAAATTAGCAGGGCGTAGTGGCTGGCGCCTGTAGTCCCAGCTACTCGGGAGCCTGAGGCAGGAGAATGGTGTGAACTCGAAAGGCGGAGCTTGCAGCGAGCCAAGATCCGCCACTGCACTCCAGCCTGGGCGACAGAGTGAGACTCCGTCTCAAAAAAAAAAAAAAACCTGGAAGGACACTTAAAGGTGGAAAGGCAACACTCAGACCCAGAGGGCAAGAACTGAGGCAGACAGAACTCATCAACTGTATCATAGTAGCAATTTACAATAATACAAAGCTAACACTGTATATCAGGCACTGTGCTCAGTGCCTCATCTGCATTATTTTCTTTATACTCAAAAAAAGACAACACAGTGAGGCAGGTATTGTATTATTACCTACATGTTTTCAGATGATGAAGCTGACTATATATAATAGAGACTTTAACTTGCTCCAAGTGACAGACCTAATAATAGCTAAATAAAACTGAAATCTTTGGTCTACTAGTCCATCACCCAGGACCAACAAAAGTAGCTTTCCTCAACCTACTGATAAGGCCTGTAACAAGGCTTCTCCTCTCCTGGTCAAAACCACACTTTTAATGTCAATTTTAAATCTGCCCTTGCATAGTAGGATAATCTGTGTTAACTCCTGAATTCACAAGCAATCCTACAACAAGATAAGTCTAAATACGGATAAGAGGTAGGATAACTGATCTGCTGAGGACCCAATTTGTTTGTTTATCTGCTATTTCGAGTCTCTGCACATCCAAAAATGCAAAGGAAACTCTTACCTAATTCTTGCATCTAGAATAGCCTTTCTCCAAATCCTGCCTTCTCCAATTACCTCAAAAGAATTGTTAGGATTAAGTGGAAATAGGTATGGTAGTTTTTGCAGTTAAACTCAGTGAAATTAACGATTATATTTCCGTTCTATAATGCTGTGTTACAGGACCCAAAGCTCCTTAGAGAGGTGGAGTCTGGACACCCAAGTTTAGCAGTTATTACCTCATTGGAGATAGTTCAAGTTATGTAAGGATCAAGAATGACAGGTGAAGAGGACACAAGAGAAGCGAAGCGTCTTCAAAACTAAACTCCAGAAACTATCAGTATTTACAGGGCAAATAAATGAAAAAGAAACCGCTAATGAAACGTAAAACAAATAGCCAAAGGGATATAACGCCGGAAAGAGGCATAAGAGTGCAAGTACTTCAACTTTTAATCAACTAGAGCTCATTAATCCCACTCCCCAGGCACTGGGAAAGGGGCTTTGGCAAGCCCAATGGACTCCAGAGGCTCTAAGTATAAAACACACTGCACACGAAACAACAGAGCACCAGCGTTGGTGCAGGACTTCAGACAGCTGCAGGAACCTCACAAGGAAGGTCAGCCGGTCCGCTCAGGCAGTCAGTCAGTTCACCGCAGCCCATTCGCTCCCCACCCGCTTGGACTCCTCGGACCCAGCCACTCTCACACCCCTCTCGCGGGCCCGAGCGTGGCGGGAAGACCCACGCACACTCCAATGCCGCCCACAGCCGTATCAGTGAGCCCGCACCCACTCCTCAGGGTCTTTCACTTCCCACCCGACCCGGCAACCCGCCACCCCCGCTCCGCTTCGGTGCCTACGGGGACTCCGCGGAGTTCGATAATTACCTAAAGCTGCACCGCGCCGCCATTACACCGGATGTACGTCACTTCCTCTTCCCGAGCACCGACAGTAGGAACAAGGCAGATACTGAAATACATAAAAACTTGACGCTCAATTGGCTTGACGCGTTATCCTTTTAATTTATTTCAGATACCATATCATAATGCCAGAGTCAAAGCAGTCGATCCAGGCACACTGTATTCTTATCAAAATGGCGACTAAAAAGAAGTTGGCATGAACTACAAAGTCCGAAATCCAGCACCTGTGCTGACGGAAATGACGAAAGCATAATTGTAGTTTAGCGGTGAAATGGCGCGGTGTACGATGGGAATTGTAGTTCATACAGATGCGCGCCAGCGAGTTAACATCCACGCTGCTGACTGGCAGCCTAGCAGTGTTTAGGGTCTAGGCAAATTTACTTTAATCTAAAAGTATTTCACTGCATTTTGGGAATTTTTTTTTTTTTTTAGTAGTCAGTTGTCACTTTCCTTGAAAATCTTAAGTGAGAGATTTTCTTGAGACTTTTTTTTATAAGAGTTTGACCAAGAGTCAAGTGCCTAATAAATTCCAAGACATCCAAGCCAAGAGAATGGGAGAATATTAGATCATAAATAGAGTGAAATAATGAGGAAAAAATAATTCTGTAGAGACTATGTTGCCTGTCTTTTAAGTTAAGGTACCAACTGGTATGACCTGAGAATAAGGAGATTGCCTGGCTGAGTAGGAAGTAGCAGTTTGTACAGCATACAGAACTAGGGCATCAAACAAATTGTTTCTTTAAACTTCACTTTTCACTAGTAACAAAACGTAAAAGTTCAACTACTTACTATTTTGGAAACTCTCTTTCTAAAACAAGAATATCTTTATGTTATCAAATCTTTCATAAACCAGGCCTGATTTCTCCACACACTTCTCTATTACAGTTTTAGGGTGCTGTGCTTCCACTCCTTTCTGGAGGCAAAGTGTGAGAATTAAGAATAAAAACACTGCAGTTGGACTACTTACGTTTGAATCTTGAGTCCTTTGATTATTTATGGATGATTGGGGCAAGTAACTTCACATTCTGTGGCCGTTTCCTGATCTGTTAAATGGAAATACTAGTAGTACCCATTCATGCAGTAGTTGTAAGAATTGAATTAGTTGATTCACAAGATACGTTTAAGATAATTGCTAGTATACAATAGTGTTATCTATTTTATTTCATATTTAAGATATTTGGCCATTGTTGATGGTGCACTTTGGTGTACCAATACAGGGCACAGGAGATGGATCTGGAGATGAACATTTGTATTTATATATTTAAAAACCCACAATACTATCTGTGATGGTTAATTCTGAATATCAACTTGATTGGATTGAAGGATGCAAAGTATTGATCCTGGGTGTGTCTGTGAGGGTGTTGCCAAACTGTTGACAACTGTTTGTTGTCAAACAGTTGAGTCAGTGGACTGGGGAAGACAGACCCACCCTCAATCTGGTGGGAACAATCTAATCAGGTACCAGCGAATATAAAGCGGGCAGAAAAACGTGAAAAGGCGAAACTGGCCTAGCCTCCCAGCCTATATCTTTCTCCCGTGCTGGATGCTTCCTTCCCTCAAACATTGGACTCTAAATTACTCAGTTGTGAGACTCAGACTGGCTCTCCTTGCTCCTCAGGCTTGCAGACAGCCTATTGTGGGACCTTGTGATTGTGTAAGTTAATACTTAATAAACTCCCCTTTATGTGTGTGTGTGTGTGTGTGTGTGTGTGTATGGATATATATTTATATTAGGATATATATGTAATAGGATATATATATACATATATATGTTTATATATATCCTGTTCTGTCCCTCTAGGGAGCCCTGATGAATATATGACCTCTACAATTATTGACAGAAATAGGAAAGTTAGGGTTGAGCAGAGGAGAACTAGATGGGGCTGGAAAAGAATGGACTTGTCAGTTGGGTCCTTCAGGAAGCAGACACTGAGAAAGAGTTATGAATAAACAAGGTGAAAGGAATAGGGAGGAAATAGTATGGGGCAGGGGTAGCTCCAGAACAAAGATGAAGAGGCCTACAATGGGTTGAAACGGCTAGACCCTTGTACCACAGTTTTGTTCAGTCACTGGCTAGAGCCACCCCAAGAAGAGCGTGGCCTCAACTAAAAATCCGAGGTGGACATGAAGATGTCAACAGTTGAAGGCTGCCACCTAACCACACTGCTTGCAGCTAGGCTACAAACAAGTCCTTTCCTGAAGAGGTATCTGAGCAGCATATCTCTATGCCTGTCACCGTCCACCTGTTACACCATGTGGACCCAGTCTCCATACACATTTCAGGAACATCTTTTCCAGGGTTCTAGCGCACATTCCTTCCTTAAAAAAAAAAAAAATCTTAGAAGTGGGAAGTTAGTGAGACAAACTACACTCCCCATCTTTGGGTCCTGAGGCCACACTGAATCCATTGCCTCTCTTCTCCACTATTCATTCTAAATTTCCCTTGCTGTCAGCTACTACTCTACTGCTCTCAGTGGTCATACTGGTGGTGTAAACATCTTAATTCCTGGGAAGTCTGAGCGCCTGGTAGTGATCTTCTTTTCAGGCAGGTGCTGCTGCATTTTTTCACTGATGATTACTATAAGGTAAGGGATTACCAAGAGATGCTCAAGTGGATCACGTAAGTACCACATATATTCTTACCTGCTCCCATTGTGTAACAGCAAGCCTATCTCCTCCTGCTGTTTGGATTTAGCTACCTCTGACAAAGCATTGATTCCTTTCTTGCCTACTAGCCCCTGAACTCTAGAAATCTCATGTTCCCAGGCACTTGCTGAGCTTAGTTCAATTCAGTGGGACACTGTGTCCCTAGCAAGAATATACCACATTTGGGGATTAGGACTACCAATTCCACAGAGCTCAGAGTTGTAGGAATGAGAAATACTATGTCCCACAGCAGGTCATTGGGAAAAATGGTAAGTTGGATTATATTCCTGTTTTCATCCCTTGTTTCCTGGACCCAAGTATTGTTCTTACTAGGGACTCTGCATCCTGAGAGACAGTACCTCATTCTTGCAGAATATTGTCTTCTAGCTGGTACTTCAACTGAACCTTCAGCAGGCCATTCCAGTGCTCTGTTAGGCCACCAGCTTCTGGGCATGCAGCATGTGATACATCCAGTGGAACCTATGGTCACAGACTTGCACCACCTTTGCTATGAAGTAAGTCCTACTTGGATGCTATGTTGTATTATATTCCATACCTGTGGATCAAGCATGGTGGAAGTCCACAGATACTGGTGCTGGATGAGTCTTGGTGAGTATAAAATGCGAATGCATTCCCAAAATAAATATTCCCATAAAATTGAACTGCTAGAATGGAAAGATCTCAATGCAGTCTACTTACCACCAAGTGTTTTCTCGATCTCCTAAAGATTCAGTGTCAAATCAAGGATCAGTTTCACAGGTTAAGCTTTCAGATAAGGCAGTAAGTAGGTAGATCAGCTGTGGTAAGTGGGGATATATGCTGATGGACCTGTGCATATATTCCATTTTTGCCACCCTGGCCATTTTGTTCATGTGCCGATTGTACCAGCACCAAGGTGGCCACTAATAAAGACAGGCTGACGTCAACTAATTGAGTAATTTTTCTACTTGTTTTTAGTGCTTACTCCTTAGATTATACTTTCTTGTGGACATTGATGTGTGATAAAAATATCTTCACACTTTTGCCCACACCAATATGTATATCCATGTTCCTCTAAGATCCTCAGGACTCATTATTTGCGATCTTCTAAACTCATTCTTTTCAGGCCTCTGACCAGCCAGCCAGGATGTTTGTCATTTCCTGTAAGTATATTTATATTCTAACCCCAGGCTACTTCTCCTTCTAAAGAAAGTAGATGACAAGGTGCACCATCCAAAGCTTTGCCCACTAGGAAGACTGTTTCTCTCCGCTGTCTTCAAGGCTATTCTTTAATGAGATTGTAATATAAGCTGCTGCCCAATTTCAGCTTTCATCCACATACGTGGGCAACACATTCATAAAGTAAGCTCAGCCATTTTTTTTCTTTCTTCAGCTTATTGATCAAGACCACAGCTCTGCTCCATATGGTCACCAGTATGAGCTGAGGGAGAAGTATTGATGCAACTCTAACGGTGATGTCAGAGTGTATGCTATCTGCTCCTAAAAATTGATTGTGGTCTTCTTTGGGCTTCATCCCAAATGTAATTCTTTTATCTTATGATGGATTACAGTTGAGCTTCCTAGAACTTATAACATGGTGTGTCCAACAAGTCACATTTTTTTTTTTTTGAGATGGAGTCTTGCTCTGTTGCCCAGACTGGAGTCAAGGTACATTTTGTTTTGTGTCACTTAGTGTCCCACAATAAGCATTTCCTCTTTACCAGTAGCATTATAAGGGCCATTTTTCGAAAGACTTGCAGCCTTCATCTAGATCCCCAGACACCTGAACTGTAATTTTCCCACTGAGATTTCTATAAACTCCATACTGCATCTTTTTCCACCACTGACACCTCTGACATCATAGGTTCTGCCAGATCGTATAGTCCAGTGTCAAAGCTATTTTCACTACAGCTCAGTCCTGCTATAGAACTCTTTCCTTTGCCAGGTTGCAAAATTGGCAGCTTTTTATGTCACCTGGTTTATGGATGAGAAAAATATTTCTAGGTGTAGAGTATGTGCCTTACAGAACCCAAAGCAGCCTCCTAGGCATTGTGCTTTTTCCTTCTTCATGTGGGATGTAAGATGCTGCAGTTTGTCTTTTATTTTAGAAGGGATATTGTAGCACTCCTCCGAACAATGGGCCCTTAATGTCTTTAATAAAGAACCAGGTCCCTCCGTGATTCTTCCAAGGTTTCATTTCTCACTCTCTGGAGCACAAACCTTAAACATGCTGATAACCTCTTGCTAAACCTGTTTTATCAGCATGATGTCATTGATATAATGAATCAATGTAATATTCTACAGGATTTCCAAACGATTCCTATCTCTGGACTGCAAGTGTGAGTAGGATAGTTAATATAGTCCAGGGGAAAAGTTTCAATGTATATTGATATTTTATTTCTTATGGATATGAACTATTTATTTCATAGGACATGAGCTATTTTAAATTGTCTTGCTTGATCAGGATAGAAAAGAATGAATTTTCCAAACCAATAGCTGCATACCATATACCTGGAGGCATATTATCCTGCTTTATCAATGATACTGTGCTTGGCATGTCAATTGCAACTGTGGCTGCTACTTTGTTAGACTTTTGGTAGTCTACAATCATTCTTCTGTTATAGT